CTTCTGTTCAGTTGAGGTTACAGAACGTTCTGGCACCCTTTGATAGGACACATTTGAAATTCGGGCAAAATGACTAGACCCTAAATTGTTCTTTCCGGATCTCAGAGTACCCTATTTGTATTTCTAAAGGAAGCATGAAGTTCCTAAAGTCCAGGAGATTCAGTGAGGTCAGGAAAACCAAGTGGGGAGTCGCTGCTTCCTGCAAAAACTGGGTGTGATACAACTTCACAGCAGAATGGGGAGTTTGTGTTTCCCTGGTTTCACTTCAAATCTATAACTTTTTGGAAGCCATGGATCACCCAGCGTTCTTCCAGGTGGGAAACCCACCCCTCCACTGTGTGCTAAGGCGTTGGTGTGTGCGAGTCTCCGCTCAAACCGGCGTTCCACCGAACGGGAATGACACACTTCCCTTTTCATTCTTTTCTGCCGCAGGACCCTGTCGCCACATTGGGGAGATGAGACAAAAACTCCCCGCAGTTTATTTTCTTTTTGAACAAGTTATATTATGGAGGGACTTTTAAGCTCAAAGAGGAAAAGTTCCTTCTTTGTTAGAGGCAAGCAGCGTGTCGTTTCAACTTGTCCTGGATTTCCTCAGAGATGTTTTAAGATCCGGTGTAAACTTGCTGTGGTTTGCCTTTGGGCATCAAAACTGTTTGGCTTGGCTCTATTATATCTGTAATTGCTGAATTTTAATAATTGCCCAATATTCTTGTCAGCAATTTGCAGCCTATATTTTTAATAGAACCGCTTGCCTTTCTTTTCCACAGGTTTATTCAGACCCGGTGTAAGCCCCGGGATTAACGAGCACCGGCCCTCAGACCCTCTGCAGCTGCGGGCAGGGGTGGCATGAGCTCATTAACGACTCCCAGGAGCCCCGTGCTGGGTGTAGTTTATGTGTTCCATAAACATCCTCCGGGAAGCCATCTTCTCTGAGATCTCTTTATGGAGTTGTGCTTTATGAAACTGGCCTTTAGCATTTGTGTATTTTTTTTTTTTTTTTTTTTAGAGAGGTTTTCTTTTTTACCAGTTTAGTCAGGAAATCGAATTTTTTTGACCGTAAAAAATAAGGACAAATTCTGTTTGCTGTGGTTGGTTTGTTCAGGTAACAGCAGAGACTTCCATGTCATCGGAGGTGATGTGGCGTGACAGTGACAGAGATGTTGGACTTCAAGGGGTGATGGACATCAATTTCGTGACCTCTAACTTTATCTTTACAATTTAGTCCGTTTTCGAGACAGGTTCGTTCCGGCACCAGGGATGTGTGCCTCAACTTGACAGGCAGTTTTGTTATTTTAGTGATTCCATTCTTTAGCTTATCTCCTTTTAGGGCCTGGTGGAATGTTTATTTTTCAATAAACAAAAGATTTGAACTGCTTGTACACTAGCTAAGAATTATATAAATAACCACATCCCAGTTGTTTTACTTTGTTGGCATAAATACAGGGTGGGGGCAAAAGAAGGTTTGCAGTTGTTCATATGGAAAATAATACAATAATAAATAATAATACAAGACTCAACCCGTGTTGCGCATATTCACGACTACAAACCTACTTTTGCTCACCCTGTATACCTCACAAAGAATGGCCAAAAAATGATGTAATAATTGATTGCTTATTATGTGTTTGGCACTACTCTTAGTATTAATATATATTAATGAGCTGTGTGTGTGTGCACTACATTTTCAAATTAACCCACAGGATAGGTTCATGTATGGAGAACAATGGGCCTGACTCGGCCCAATAGCACCTGTTTGGTAGGTGACAGAGTGGACTCAAACCTAGGCAGGCTTCTAACTGCCATCCCTATTCTAGTCTTAGTAGGATTAAAAAAATGTTTAAGGGAGAGAGAAATAGAAACATCCATGAGAGAGAAACATCAATCGGCTGCCTCCTGCACACCTCCTACTGGTGATCCAGCCTGCAACCTGGGCATGTGCCCTGACCAGGAATCGAATTGGTGACCTCTTGGTGCATGGGATGACACTCAATCCACCCAGCCACACCAGCGGGGCTCATAGGAGGCTTTTAATTACTATCATATACTAAAATTGAACCAAAGTGCCTCCTGCACATATTATTTAGTTTCAAGATGTGTCTAAGAAATTCCTTGAGAAATTAGAACTTTATTGTTATTATTTCTGCATAAGAAATACTTTCAAAACCAAAATGGTATAAAACTCAAATGGCAATTCAGTGAAAAGGTTCTTTTTCCTTCCCATCACTGCCCTTCAACTCTTTCAGTAGGTGGATCAGGACCACGCTGGGTCTGCCCTGGGCAAGGTCTGGAAATAAGATTCTTTTTATTTTTTTAAATTGACTTTTTTTTAGAGAGAAAAGAAGGGAAGGAGGGAGAAACATTGATGTGTGAGAGAAAAACATTGATTGGTTGCCTCCTGTATGTGCCCTGACCGGGGATTGGACCCACAACCTGGATAAATGCCCTGACTGGGAATCAAACCAGTGATCCTTTGTTGTACAGGACAATGCTCAACCAACTGAGCCACACTGGCCAGGGCTGGAAATAGGATTCTTACACGGTATCGCAGAAAATGCATTTCAAGGATACACGCACAGAGGATTTGAGGTGTGGTGGCAAGGCTTATTGGAAGGGTACTTTTGGCACTGTGCTAGGCCTGGGGCTTCTCCGGAGAGAGAACATGCTACCCGGAGTCTTTGTTAAACTTTGATTATATCTCTTTGGGTTTGGGAAGGGGTAAGCTTTCTTTCAAACTAACCAACCTCCATCCTAATTCTTTCGAGGGCGTGTTCTGACCTTCCCCCTGTCGAATCCCTTTCCTGGATTTTCTGGGTCCTGTGCTCTTATCCTATCCAATCCTCCCCCAGATTCTCCCAGGCTAGACTCTTCCCATTTATGACCCTCATGTTGGCTCCTATTGGGTATGCTTCAGTTTTGCTTCATCTGGCTCCTACTGCGCATGCAAAAGAATTTCCCTTTCCTGTTCACCCTTCCCCTGGTCATTGGGTGAACCATCCCGGTTATTCCCCAGGGAGATTGGAAAGCAGGTCTTTCCTGCCTGCTGGGGGCGTAAGTCCCTTTGTGGGAGGATGCCAGTCCTTGGGGGTGTCAGTGAAGCTGTAGCTTCCTGACCTCATCAGGCTCAGCCGGTTTAGCTCAACCCTTCCCTTTGTTAATACCTAACTAGCTACCCATGCAAATTCAACTAGCCTATTTCTCTATTCTTCATAGGAAATTAGCATTACTACTGTAAAGAGTCATTTTGAATATCTTTCTCTTAACACTTATAGCAGTGAGCTAAGGACACTCAATTTGCCATTGTCTTTATATTTTTGTTCTGTATCTTACAAGTGCCCAAACTGGCTTTGTCCCTGAAGGGAGCAAGCTGGTTCTGCGGTGCTGTCTCCTGGCTGAAGGTAACAAGGCTGCAATCCCAGCTCTCTGAGATGGCTCCTGGAAACACCTAGATCTGGCCTTGCCCAGGCCTCAGATCAGGCAGGGTGTTAGCTAACTTTTATTCTTGATGAGAAGAAATCATGTCCTTAAGGGGTGGGGAAGCTTTTTTTCTGCCAAGGGGCATTTGGCTATTTATAACTCACTTGATATACATTTATATTGCTATGAAAAAAGCTCCTAGATTTATTGAATTTCTAGTCCTGCCTGTGGTTGCCTTGACAGGGCCAGACCAAATGATTTCCTTACCCCTGTCTTAAACAGTGCTTGGAGCATAGTAGGTACTCAATAAATGTTTGTCAAATTGGACAGCTTTTGTGGGTTGTATCAGGCTCAGAGATACAAGACCGGAAATAACTAAGTGAGGTAACCTCTAGGGCCATAGGGAGGAGAGTCAAGTTAAGCAGACTACCCCAAAACTTGCCATTCAGGGTTCTATGGATTGGAGAATGTTCGAGAGGACCTCGGGAGTCTCTAGCCCAGGAACCAGGTAGTCTCAGATGGGGCTAAGAGACGGGGGAGACTTTTTTTCCTGCTAGAAACCTGGCAAACAGTTGAAATAAGAATCTTGCCTTTTAACGGATATTTTTCAAAATGATTCTAAACCTATTTTAATTTGATCCCTGCAATAACTGTCATTTTAACATTAGATTGAATCTCTAGTCAAAGCTATTTTTATTTTCTTCTTTATAAAAAAAGGTTTTTATTGATTTCTGAGAGAGGAAAGGAGAGGGAGAGAGATGGAAACATCAATGATGAAAGAGTATCATTGATCAGCTGTCTCCTGCACGCCTCCCTGACTGGGAATCAAACTCCTGGTCCATGGGTCGATACTCGACCACTGAGCCACAATGGCCGGGCTGTGTTTTCTTGCTAGCACTAGGGAATTCATGAATCAAGTGTCACTGATTGCTTTATGTGGTCCTGATAACTTTATAGGAAACTAAAGATTTAAAATATCAATAGTCTTACCCGGTCTGGCTCAGTGGATAAGAGTGTCGGCCACCACACTAAAGAAATGGTCCTGGGTTTGATTCTGGTTAAGGCCACATACCTCATTTGCAGGCTCAATCCCCAACTTTGGTTGGAGTGCATGTGGGAGGCAACTAATTGATGTGTCTCTCTCACATTGATGTTTCTCTGTCTCTGTCTCTCCCTTTCCCTTTCACTTTCTCTAAAAACAAAAAACAAAAAAGAAAACTATCCTCGGGTGAGGGTTAACAAGAACCAAAACAAACAAACAAAAATTAGAAAAAAATGTCAAAATTAAATGTGGTTTTGCAAATGTATCTGCTATAAAAACCTTTACTAAGTAATTATCATTCCCTTCTCAGTTTGCTTGAGTGCTGTTTTGGCATCTTTTAAGATAAGTTTATCTTAACCTCTTTAGAAGTTCTTCATTTCACCCTAATCTATGTTTATGAAAAGAAGTTCCTGCATTAAGTTTTCTTCTCGGAATATGTTTATTTTTACAGACAACGTGACACTTGGAAAGAAGGATTTTAAGGCCACATCTGATTTGCAAAGATTTCGATCTGAAGAACTGCTGAACGGAACACACTTTTGGAGAAATGAAAATGACTCCTCCCTATGTGATTGCCATGTTGGCCCTAATGAGTTCCTGTTTAGCGACAGCAGGTAAGATGCATAATCCAAATTGCATGTTTATTATATTCTTTTGGATATATGTTTCCTCAGTTTAGGAAAATTTAGGGCATGTGACATTTATGCAACACATGAGTATTTATGTTATTCAGGGAAATAAAATATTTGATTTCTATACAGATACGTAGTTTATTTGCCTGTTACATTTTGATAGCCTGATGCTAGACATTTTAATGTCAGTGATTTGGATACCTAACTAACCTCAGGTGTTGAGGTGGGTAGAGAACCAATAAGCTAGGGTTTAAGCCCTCTTAATTTTTATCACATGCATAGATTACATTTACTTTCTTGTCCTAAATAAGAATTTGAAGAAGGTCTTTTTGTTCTTTATTACAAAATAAATAGTCTTCTAAACGGAGGAGACACACTTGGCATAGGCTGCTTAGAAGGTATTTAATTTTGTCTATTTCAGATATTTAAGTTTTTCACTTAAATATCTGAGTATGGGATTGGAGATGAGAAGAAACAAATGACTTGGTTGGAACTCTGTTGCTTAAATAAGAATATCAGATCCTCCATATCAGTGTCTTAGTGTTGGCACTCAGAGTTACTTAACACACTTGGAAGCTCAATTTGCTCTGCTTTGCTATCACTTGCTTTGTGTCTGCTCCGTAATGGACTACATAAAATAGTTTTGTTGGACCAGTTCTTGAAACTGGCTGGTCTCAACAAGAAACATACTGACTTGACAAATGATTAGCATCTTGGTTTTGGCTACTGAAGTCACACACAGTTGAGATGATAACAATGATAATTACTATCTATTGAGTGTGCATTACAGCCAGGTACTGGGCTAAATAACTATGGAATATAACAGTGAACAGCATATTCTTATTTCATGAGCTCAGTTCATCGCAACGCTGAGGTAGGTTTGATTATTTTTCTCCTTTTACAGATGATGAAATGAGATATGGAGAGATTAGATAACTTGCATAGTGTCATGTAGCTGGGAAGTGGAGGAGCCAAGCTTTACGTCTATGCTCTTACCCTCTGTGTCGTAATGAAGAAGCCAGACCACCAACTGGGGGCTCCAGGAGACTCAGACTAGCAATCATACAGCAGCACAGACTCAGTGAAAGCCAGTTTCCAGAATTGGTTTATGAGACTGGAAAGCAGGATGTCTTCCTCGTTGCAAATATCTTGAGAGAAAGTTGCTAGGTGTTTTTGTTTTTTTAATGGCAGCATGTGAATTTGAACTGCCCTTTCTCTCTCTGTCAGCGGTTTAATTTTGTCTCATGATTGAAGAGTTATTTGCCTTTTAGCCTGTGCATTAAAACTGATCTTAATTAAAATCTCATTGAAAAGGAGTAGTAGAGATAGGGAATTGGCTTGATGGAAAACGTGCGGTTTGGATGGTAAGATGTATAATCAAACCTAATGGGTTTGAGGTAGAATTTTCGACTTTCATGGACACTGGGGACAGATGGGAAAACATAACTGAAGAGGGAACCTCATCGTAAAGTGGTGAGTTTGATGTATTTGATAGTAGATCAATTTTGCCTAAGACCCTCCTTCCTCTTTCAAGACATGGTAAATACTTTTTTGACTTGTATACGCAATCAAAGCTTTGCTCAGGTAGATAGTAAAATCAAAGGTGCAGGAGAATTACAGATTCTGTAACAACATGAGGCCACTGATGAGCAGTACTGACGTAGAGATGTCTTTGAACAGCCTATGAATGGAGAAGGGAGAAATGTTTTGTAAGTGCTGTCACCTAGTAGCTTTCTGCATAGGCCTAGCATACTTTACAGACATTACAGGGTCGTTGAACATTAAGGAGATAGTAGTGATGATAACAATACTGAGTATTGACAGAGTAATTAATTAATTACTGTGAGCCAGGCCCTGTTCAAAGTGTTATCTCAATTTCATTCTCATAACTGCCTTAGGAAGTGCAGGTACTTTGTTTATCTGCATTTACAGAGGGGGAACTGAAGCATGGACAGGTGAGGTGACTTCCTCAAGGTCACAATCCACGTGGCAGATTTACCATAAACCTACTTGGTCTAGGCCTGTAGATGGAGCCTTTAGGTCTCAGTGCTAGAGGGAGTATTGATCAGAAGGTGTTTGTTGGAAAAGAATGATCATGGGTTTGCTCTGTGCCATCTTGAAACATCTAGTAAATCAGTTACTGAGTCCTTGCTAAGTGGAAGTTCTTGCCGCGTAGGGCTAAACACATGTAAGATCCGTCCTTTTGTTACATGGCATATAAAGCATAACCATGTAGCTAAGTGATCCCTGTATGATGAATGCTGAGTAAAAGCCACAGGACCTCTGAGGGGTCAGGAGGGGAAGCCTGCTGGGGTAGAGCCGCTGGGGACGGCTGTGTGGAAGCGTTAGGTGTGAGTGTGCTTTGCAGGTCAGGCAGAATCTAAAAAGAGGGAGGCATTGTGTTGACCACATGCGAGAACCTGGCTAGCACGGAACATGGCACATAGTTTTCTGATGTTTTTTAAGGAACGGACGATCTGGAAAACTGGTATGGCAATGTGCAAGAGGTCTGTTTGGAAGGGAGGAGGGGACTAGATTGTGTAGGACCTTGAATGTCAGAGTGAGGCTTGTGGGTATCATTTTGAGGTTTGGATTCTCTCTTCTTCCATTCCCTTGTAGCCAAAGGCAAACACTGTTAATCTGAGAATTCAAACTGTGGGCTTACACAGTGAGGCTGAGAGTACGGCCTCATTAGCTTAAAAGACAAGAGTGCCCTGCATGGAGGCTGCCATTTACCCAGGGCTTGCTCTCTGCCAGCTCATTTATTTTACCTTTATAAGATAAACTATGAGGCGGGTAACCTCAGTTTTATTCTCATTATCTGCATTTTGCAGACAAGTAAAATGAGGCTCGACTTGGTTCATAATGTGTATGAAGTCCCAGAGCTGGGACTTGAACCCTGGCAGTTGGCTCTCAAGTCCAGCCCATCGGCCGCTCCAGCGCAGCCTCCGTGGAGCAGAACCTGAGTGTGGAGTGAGTGAACCTCTGGGTTTGATTGCGGGGCCCCAAGGAGACATCCTGGAACCAAGATTAAACCCCTTTGGCCTCAGAAGAGATAGATGCAAGCCATCAGAATGAAGGCACACCGAGGAACAGGCCTTCTGTATTTGCATTCTTCCCTGGCATGGCCAGGAGGCTCCGCTGCGGGGCTCCTGGCAGCAGGAGGGCGAAGGCTGTGAAAGGCCTGCCTCAGATCCGTGCCCAGGACGGGATGGAGCGCAGCGCACACAATGAGCTCACGTTAGAAGAGGAGGGGGCTGCTTTTCCATCCTGATGGGTTGGCCTGGGCTTCTCCTTCTCTGCTTGAGGCTGAGGGTGAGGGAGGCAGGGGGCAGCAAGACACGTCCCAGAGTCCAGGGCCGCTTTGACACCATTCACACTTCCCTCCTTCCCTTATACTGAGGTTATTGCACAGCATTGTGGGGCGGGAGGGCCACACCAGCGAACAGGAGCTGTGTAGGGACAGGAAGGCCTCCTGATTAGAAACGACTTAGGTTTTGGCACCTGACCTTTGATCCTGTTATCTCTCTTAAGAAAAATGGGGAGTTTAAAAAAATAAATGCTTGCGCTTATGGGTTTAAGGCTCACTGCGTTTTCACTTTAAAAACTGTTGTGCTACTACACATCTTTAAAAAATATTAACGGCTGCCTCTGAGGCTTGCCAGAGTTTGCACAGGGCTGTGATCCCAGGAACCTTAATAACGAGAAAAAGAGGCACGGACGGAATTCAGGGAAATTGGTTTGGGTGGAAGGGATGGACTTGTCCCCACTCCACTGGCCTTGGGTGCCAGGCCTCCTGAAGGGGTGCTGCCGAGGGGAGCTCTGCAGGACCGGGGCTGGCCTTGGCGCCTGCTGGTGTGGATGGATGGCTGTTCCCCTCATTCCGTTGTTCCACTGGGTGCAGACGCATCCTTTTGGGGGCTTGCCCACAACGTGCACACACATTTCTATTGAGTGAGCACAGTTCTTTTCCTCTGTCCTAGATGTACCTGGAATTCCAGGTATAGTCCACAGGAAAATAGAGACGTTTTCAGTTGGAGCTATTTTCCTGCTAAGAAAGTTCTGAACGGTTTGTATCCATGGGGCAGCAAGTAGAGATGCCAGCTGGCTAATACTTGGTTTAAGAAGGGGACAGGCTGGCAGCCTTGGGGGAGGCAAAGCTAATAACAGCACCAGCATACATCCCTTTATTGTGCTTCATAGATGTTGCGATTTTTAAAAAAATATTTTTTTATTGATTTTACGGAGGAAGGGAGAGGGAGAGAGAGAGAAGCATCCATGAGGGAGACTCATGGATTGGCTGCCTCCTGCACGCCCCCTACTGGGGACTCAGCCTGCAACCTGGGCATGTGCCCAGACTGGGAATCAAACCGGTACTTCCTAGTTCATAGGTCGACACTCAACCACTGAGCTACGCTGGCCGGGCGATGTTGCTTTTTTTACATATTGAAGGCAAGACCCTCCACCAGCAAAAAAAATGACAAGTCGTTTCATTGCGGTGGTCTGGAGACCAGCCTGTAATATCTCTGAGGTATGCCTGCAATATCATTTTATATTTATAGTTTTCAAAACACTCTTGTACCTAGCATTTCATTTCATTCTCATAGCAGTCCCTGGGGTGGCAGATATTGTTTTTTTTTTTTTCATTTCTAGAAAGAACCTAATGAGACGAGACATAGGGAAAGCAATTCAGAAAGATGGTTCAACTCTCGGTCAAACCAGAACTCAGCACACTTCTGCAGCCAGGCGGTCCTGACTGACAGGCCTGCTGGCCTCAGCACCTCTGGGAACAGCACCCACCGGGACCCAGGGGCACCTTACACGTATCGATTCATTTAATCCTTACAGAAACCCAGCGAGGGAGGCATTTATCATCATCACTGTTTTTATCATTGTTACAGCTGCCACCACTCCCACTGCTGTGATTAGACTTATTCTACCATTGAGAAACCTGAGGCTTCGAGAAGAAAGATGTGCTATAT